CCACAACTTCCTTAATTTTATTCTCTGTTAATTGCCATGCATTCTTGTAAAAGATAATGTATTGATTTTCCTGTTATCATTTACAATATTTGGAATTCAGTGTTTTACCTTTCCATTTGACCAATATCATGGTGGAGGGGGAATAAAACCGATTCATGCCTTTCATAAAGGCACTAGTGTGAAAGTGAATACTATCGACTAATCCTGAATTTGAACTCTGCTCTTCAATTCTACTCCTTGTATCCTCACCCCTGGTTTCCATAAAAAGTTAAGCAGTTGAGCCTGGTTACTACCTAGATGGGTGACCAAGTGTGGTAAGCTTGGATGTGCAGGTGGTGGAATGCATTGTGTTTAGGAATTGAGTTGGGTTCATTATATTCACTTATGTGCAAATAGCCATGTGAAAGATATGAATCCACCATTTCCCCCCAGCTATGGGTTAATTAGTAAGACTTGTATCACTAAACTGTTATCTTAAAAAAAATTTCTTAGAATCTAAAATATTTTCTGGATTTAAATAACCTGAAAAGGGTTGATAAGCTGTAAAAAAAAAAAACTAAAAAAAACAAATCGATGAATGAATTCTCCTCACCTCAGAAAACCTGCCTTGGTATGACATTTTTTTTTTGTTTCTTTGTTGAATGCATATTATTTTCTTTCTAAGCGGTTTGCTTACAATACTCTGACATGCTGCAATCAAAAGCAACTGAATTTAAAATTAAAGAAATGTTAAAAAAAGTTTTCATTTTTTTTTTTTTTAATCTTCATACTACCTAAGTAGGTTAACTAATGAGAAGTAAGCCTCCTCCATTTTGAGATCGAGCCAATGCAAACAATCCTTTCTTTAGCTGTTTAGTATGTGCTACATCAGGGCTACATACAGTTTTTGAATTCAGAGTTACTTTCTCCTAGACTGGTTGCCACCCAAGGCTATAGAAGCCAGTTTGCTCAGCTATTTACTCATAGCTGGGGAGAGAAGAGGAGGATTTGTACCTTTCCCAAGGGTATTAACATGTAAGTAAATGTAATGGATCCAACTGGAATTTGAACTCAGATCTCTGATTCATTGATCTGAGATGCTATCCATTATTCCACCATGCCTCCTGGCATATACAGCTCATTTTCCAAATCCCTCACTACTAAAAAACTGATTTTTATACTTGTACTGCATCCTACACAATGAAGGTCAAGTTTAGAGTCAAGCATAAGTTTGATTTAAATTTTTTTTTTTTCAAATTCCATCTTTCATGACCAAACTGTAAACTCTTTTTTTCTCACTATTCAGCACTTGTAAGTCTGACATTGTTTATTTGCTGTAATTTTTCTATAATAATGAGATTACTTTTCTATAATAATGTGATTACGAGAATTTGTGTACTTACTGTATATACTCATATAACGTGATGTTTATTTTAAATGCAGTTGTCATTTTTGACTATGGTAAATGGATATATAGTTTGGTCAATAGCATAGCCAGGGCCAGCAGTACATATGCTAATTTTATATTTTACTAGCAGTAGAGCCCGGCGTTGCCTGGGGATGTAACAGTAAGAGATAGATCAAGTATCAACCATCATAAAGACTGAAAAATAAAATTGACAAAGATTATTGTTTAAGGTTGACGGACATGCATGTCTTAATTATTTTATTTTTTTTGTTTTTTTTTTACAAATTGGTCAAACTCAAACAAAAACATTGTTTTCAATCGTTATGAGTCTACCGATTGAATTGAATTTTATTATAAACAATTGTCTTGTAAATGGAATTTTTAAAGCATGCTGAATGTAAAAATAAAGAGAAAAGTGTGCAAGACAATAAGAAACACTACCTGCCAAAAAAAGTGAAGTTTTGTTGAAATTGGTTGAAAAATGTAGGAAATCCGATCCCATATATAAAGGAACACACACACAACCTGCGTTTTATAATAAGTATAACTCGATGTGAGTTGTCCCCCTTTCATTCTCGCAATTAATTGTGTTTTCAAATTGATTTTGTGCAAAAACAATTGTGTTTTTCCAATTTTTGGTGCTGTTAGAACCACCGCAAGGTAATTTTACATAGTCCTGTGAAGTTTTGTTGAAATCAGTTGAAAAATGTAGGAAATCCGATCCAATATATAAATGCACGCACACACACACACACACACAATCTGCTTTTATAATAAGTAAGATATATAATGTGGCCCCCCTCCTTTAAAATTAGCTTCAAAATTAGGTCTTCGAAAGTTGCATGATGCGCGAGTATATACGGTAGTTTAAAATCTATGCCGCACACATTGTAGCGAACCACCCTCATTCCCTTTATATTCCATTGATGAGATTTAAGGTTCTTCTCAAGAACTGCTACATTTGTCACTTAATAGTTCACTGTATATTAGATGTTCAGATGAAACATTGCAAGCCTCTTTCCGTTCTAATGATGGTAAGCGTTCAGACAATCTACATTCCTTAGTTCCACCAGTTTTAACCTTCCTGGCTAAGACCCACCATTCCATACACATTTTAGCAAACCACCCTCATTCTCTTTGTATTCAATTCACTCGAGCAGCTTCTTCACACAAATCACCACTTTGTGGAACTGACTCCCAAGAGGATGCTTCCCTGCTCACTACCATCTTAAGTCTAGGGTTAGCCATTATCTTCCCCACATATCCTCGTAAACTGTGCCCCTTACCTTTTATGCTGTAATCTCTACCTCGAGCGGCTCTCAAGACTTTTACAGGATGAACTTTATTGTAAAAAAAAAAAAAAATGACTAAATTTCATGCTATTCCTGTTTGCTTGTATATCATATATACCACAAAGTACCATAGTACCATGTTGGTAGCTTTGAAAGAAGTTTTATTAAGTACGGTGAATCTTGTGTTTTCTCAGTTCCCGACGTGAAATGTTAATGTGATTTTAGGTATGGTTGTTAAAACAGGCGATAGATTATTACAACATCACAGACGCAATTCTCCTGATTAGAAGTAACACAATCAAAGTTCTCAAATCTTGCTGGGGAAAAAAAATCATCTGTTCATCCATTAAAAATATCCAAGACAAACACAAATGCATTAGAATCCCAGACATTGTAAAAAAATGTAAAATAAATAAATAAAACAAAAAAAATGTCCATCCGCAGCACTGTGGAAATACATTTTGTTACATTAAACAAACACTAGTTAAATAAGTGTATTTTTTCTTTTATCTCTGTTTTTTTTCTGATAGTCTCAATTCTTTAGAGCCTTGTATTCTGCCATATGTGTTAAAACAAGATTCAATGTGGCAGTGTTTGATAAATCTATAATTGCTTACTGCTTGGTAATGTTTCTTTTGATATGACTGCCATATATATATATATATATATATATATATATATATATATATATATATATATATGTCCCTATAATGCATAGATGTATGATACTTTAAGTTCTCTACGATTCAGAGAATTCTTTTTCCATTTTTCTATCTCTGTCATCTTTTAACAGAATTTATACTAGCAGCATATCAACCTCTATGGGTTATCTAATGCCAAAATCTAAATATTTTGAACACAATTTTATGGCTTCAACTACAGATAAAGTGTATTGTTCATAATTCTACTATAAAATTTATTGCTGGTCATTTTGCTTTGAAAATGTATTTTTGGTAAGTATTGTTGGTCACTAGGTTTTTTTTATATAAAAATGTATTGTTGGCATCTTCACCATAAAAATGTATTTTTATACTTTCATAGTATTTTGATTTTGTTTGGGAGTTGATTATTCACCTATAGTTGGGACCCCAACAGGTGCTACCACCCGGGGTCAGGACCTGTGAACAACAGAAATTAAGAAGTGGTCTCATGCTCCTTAAAACCTCCAATCCCCCGATCAGAAGCCTTGCTGCCAGATGTAGTTTGTCATGCCCAGTACTTAATTTCTAAGTCTTGATCCATGCAAGAAAAGAAGAACATTCCCTTTTGTCTTGCCTGTAGTTATCTTAAAGAAAATAAATCTGAAATAAAAGACCCCCCCGGCTTCAAAAAATCAACACTTGTTCATTATACTGCCTGTTATTCCCCTGCTCCAAAAAATAACAAAAATGTAGATAAAAGAAAACATTAAAAAAAAATATAAAAATTGAATATTTAATGAAACATACTCTAATTAAAATAAATTTAATTAGAGGAAGTTAATGAATGCCAGATAATTTCCTTATGTGGTTGTGGTATCTAATTTGCATACCTTGAATACATTGGTTGACCAAAAGAACAGTGAGGACTGAAATGGTGGCTATTATTGTTGACATTTCAGTGGTTGCTGATGGTATGTGCTTTTTTTTTTTTTTCTTTCTTTTCTTTCTTTTTTCTTTTCTTTCTTTTTTCTTTTCTTTCTTTTTTCTTTTCTTTCTTTTTTCTTTTCTTTCTTTTTTCTTTTCTTTCTTTTTTCTTTTCTTTCTTTTTCTTTTCTTTCTTTTTTTTTCTTTCTTTTCTTTTTCTTTCTTTTCTTTTTTCTTTTTTTTTTTTTCTTTTTTTTTTTTTTCTTTCTTTTTTTTTTCTTTTCTCTTTTCTCTTTTCTTTTCTTTTTCTCTTTTTTTTCTTTTCTTTTCTTTTTTCTTTTCTTTTCTCTTTTCTTTTTTCTTTTCTCTTTTCTTTTTTCTTTTCTCTTTTTTCTTAAGTATTCAACTCCAAGCAAGGCGGGAAGCCACTAGCACGTAAGGGGTTACAGAGTTTGAGCGAGAACAAAGAGGAGTGGTAGCGGAAGGATGAAGGGACAGTTAGGGGATAGATCAGAGCATCTGGAGACGTCAATTGACGTTACATTTGAATAGTTGGAGATCACAGCCATCAGGAAAACAAGAAATGGGGAGGGAGTTCCACAGGTGAGAAGTGCGAGACATGAAGCTATTGGAGTAGAAGAGACGGCTACATTTAACAGTTTTGTCAGTGAAAGGGTGAGAGTGAGATTCCAGCCTAGTTGAGTGCCCAAATTCATGAAGTCCTCATCAGCAAAGCAATCATTATAATATAGGCTAATGGCCACATCAGGTTGAAACAAAGGTTCCCATACGATCACTGAAATTAAGCAATATCAAGCCCAGTCAGTACCTAGATGGGTGACCACTTGGGAATACCAGGGGTTGTAA